TATGGTTCCGGGATCTGACTCAGGTCATCAGGCTTGCCCGCAGTGCCTTTACCCACTGACCTTTCCCGCAGGCCCTAATTTGCTGATTTAAAGTGTTGATAACTAGGTGCTATATAATTGTTTTTATTATTGTTCACTGTAGAGAGAAGTAGTACATCCATCCAACCTCATAGCTCCAGATCCACTTGGAGGAGAACAAGCCCACCATCAAGGTCAAGTGTCTCCTTGTCCATCCTCCTTTCTCCTGCCTGCACCCTAAGTAAAATCATCTCGGTGTTCCCAGACGAGTCTCACCTGCTTGGTAGAACTTATTCCCAGTTTCTGTTGGTGCTTGCTGATTGCTTTTGTTTTCTCTTTCTTGTAGTGTGCCTTCATTATAATCTCAAATTTAGTCTCAGCCCATACACACACACACACACACACACACACACACACACACACACACACAGAGCATCTTCAGAGATGGGGAGTGTGGACTGGATTGTCCCTGGGCTCCCTGAGAGCAGTACCCTCAGAATTCCACCCTGTGCATCCCTGAGCTGGATCCACTGTCCCCTAGATTCCAAATCTCTCCTTTTTAACCTGAGCACATCCTTAGGTTGTATTTTCTGAAGGGATGTGTGGAGAGTTACTTCCCCTAAATTGTTGCAAGATTATTATTCATATTTTCTCTTGGCTGTCAATACTCCTTAGAAAACAGTGTTCTCCATATCTTCGGCACCGTCCCTTCACTATGCTCTGGTGCCCAGAGTCATAGGTGACAGAGCTGGTGTTTCACTGGTCTAGTCCTTGCAGATCTGACTTTCTCCACTCACTTTTGCGTGTGTGTGTGTTTGTGTCTGTGTGTGGTGTGCTGAACACACACACAGACCGCAGGTCAACAACAAGTGTCTTCCTCTCTCACATATTTTTTGAGATGGGATCTCTCACTGATCCTGGAGCTTCCTGATTGGCTAGGTTGACTGGCCAACAAACCTCTAGGGATCTTCCAGCACAAGAGTTACAGAAGTGCACAGCCACACTCGAGCTTTTGAGTGGGTGCTGGAGCTTGCACAGTGAGTACTTTATCCTCTATCCTGGTTAGATTTTATTTTCAAACTGACCCAGTCTAGATCCAGTCCCTGGGAAGAGGGAACCTCAGCTGAAGAATTGCCTTTATGAGACCTGCCTGTGGCCATGTCTGTGAGAGATTGTATTGGCTGAAGATTGATGTAGGAGAGCCCAGCCCACCATGGGTAGCGCCATACCTAGGCAGGTGGGTTTGGGCTGTATAAGGAGGCTGAGGAGGAGCCAGTGAGCAAGCCAGGCGGCAGTGTTCCTCTGTGGTTTCCACTCGAGTCCCTGCTTTGAGTTCCTGTCCTGACTTCCCTCAGTGTGAAGTCTAAGACAGATAAACCTCTTCCTCATGGTCATGATGCTTATCTGAGCAAGAGGAAAACAAAGTACACACTCACTGAGCCATCTCCTCAGTCTGGAGTTTATTGTTTGTTCATCTGTTTGTTTGTTTCTCTCTCCTGCCTCCTGGACAGTGTTTCTTCTGTAGCCCAGGCTGTCCTGGAACTCACTCTGTGGGCCAGGGTGGCCTCAAACTTAGAGATTTGCCTGCCTCTGCCTCCTGAGTGCTGGGATTAAAGGTGCCACTACTGCCTGGCTTTTCCTCCTCCTCCTCCTCCTCCTCCTCCTCTTCCTCCTCCTCCTCTTCCTTCTCCTCTTCTTCCTCCTCCTCCTCCTCTTCCTTCTCCTCTTCTTCCTCCTCCATTTCCTCTTCTTCCTCCTCTTCTTCCTCTTCTTCCTCTTCTTCCTCCTCCTCATCGTCTTTTTAAAAAAATATGCATTGGTGTTTTGCCTGCATGTCTGTGTATGTGGGTATGCCATATCCCTTGAACTGGAGTTACAGATAGTTATGAATTACCATGTGGGGTCTGGGAATTGAGCCTGGCTTCTCTGGAAGAATAGCCAGTGCTCTTAACTGCTGAGCCATCTCTCCAGCAGCGTGTAATGTGTATTTCTTATTATGGGACATATAGGCCATGTACAAAAGTTAGGAAACCACCTTTTGAGGAGTTCTTTTGTAGTTCAATATTTCCCATCTTAATCCAGCTGAACTCAATGCCTTGAATCAATTTAACTTAGAAGATGAATCACAGAATTACAAAGCAGTTTGCGTAGGTCTCCAGATCCATTGCAGGCTCCACTTACCCACTGAACTTTCTCTCAAGCAGGTCCTAACTTCATCGTCTCCCCTGGCTGACCCTCAGCCTAAGGTCCCTAGCAGGTGAGCTCCTGGGGAGATTTTGCTGGTCTCTATCTATGGCTACTACAACTTTGGCCTGAGTTGATCCCTAAACCACTCTAGATAGATCTGAGATTTAAATCTGGGGTCTGAAAGAAAGCCATAGTCTCATGTCTGGGGCTGTTAGTAGCCAAGCGGCCTGAGGGGAAGAGAAGGCTCATTGCAGACAGAGAAGCGTCCAAAGCTACCCCAGGACTTGGCTTCAGTGAGAGCTGGAGCAGGCTGGAGTGGTCTGAGGGGTACTTACGGGGCAGGGCCGTTGAAAATGCATGGCGTGGGACTTCTATCTCCTTCGCCACATGAGGAGAGAGGCCTAACAGTTTCCTTGTTCCACTTTGCAGGCTGGCCCTGTCACCTCTCTGACGCTCCACTGCCCGGCTGTCCACCACCTTTATGCTCCAAGAGAGCTCTGTATCTTTTATACGCACTCTTGCTTTTACACACCAGCCAGCTCAAGTTGCTTGCTGGCACCTGTAGCCCAAGAGTCTCATCTAACACGTGCTCAGACCCTTCCACTGCAGCCCAGGCCTCTCTCCCGGGGGTCTGCCATTCAGGAAACTGCCAGAGACCTAAGAGGTGTGAACCAGCCTGCTGACATTAAACTCAGAAGCAAAGCAGTGCTCACACCTCGGTGCCCGGGTCTCACCCGGAGAAGCAGGTGTTTCCAGAATAATATTGCCCTGTGAGCCCCACTTCCATGCTTTGGTCCTCCCCATCCCCCTCAGTGGCGTGGAAGAATGTCTCTCTCCACTCCCACTATTCTCATCAAGAACAGAAGCTAGGGCAGGTGAGTGCAGAGTTCTCCAGAGGGGAGTATTAACACCCGCTGTGTTGCTCTATACTGTTGAGCTGTTGGGGTCATGCAGGGATTTGGGAGAGAGGAAGGCAGGCCACAGACATCAGGAGCCTTTTTGAAAAGACCCAACCCCCAAGGAAGGAAATGTAAGGGCATCCCCAGTTCAGTGGAACCGTAGCTTTAAGATGGGGGGGGGAGGGGGCCAGTGTTAGTGACCAACTGCTCTTCAGGAGGTCATGAGTTCAAATCCCAGCAACCACATGGTGGCTCAAAACCATCTATAATGATCTGCGAGTGGGGGCCAGAGGTGAGCGGGGATGGAGCAAGAGGGACAAGGGAAGGGGGAAAAAAGACTGAGGGGAAGCCAGGCACAATGGTACTGACCCATACCCAGCACCAGGAAGCCGAGGTAGGTGAAAGGACTTGAAGCTTGAAGTTGGCCTGGGTGATGTAGCGGGACCCTGTCTCAAGCCCCATCCCCCTTTGAAAATAAGAACAGAAGCAGGGTACTGTGCACACATTAGGAAACTGAGGCAGTAGAAACGCTGGCCAGCCTGGGAGACACAGCTGGATATGGTAGCATCCCTTTGGACTGGAGGCTGTTTGGGAGGCTGAGGGAGAAGGATGGTTTGAGCTCAGGACGTTGAGACCATCCTTGGTAACAGAGTGAAAGCCCATCTCAAAGTGAAGGGGGTGGGGCCTGAGGGAGGGGAGGCAGACCGCCCAGGCTGAGGGTGGTTGTCCCTGGCAGAGACCTAGAGTGTGCTGTTTGTTGATGACTAACAGAGTGAGGTTCACGAGGACAATATTTTCCAGGATGGAACAACAAAGCCACAAGCTACAGTTGAAGCTGCGCCAGTGGCACGGGTGGTACCAGATGCCTCAGTAGTGGGTGCTCCTGGCCTGGGTCCCCACAGGTCTTCTGATAAGGGCATCCTCACCCCCCCACCCATAGGATGTCAACGAAGGGACAAGCCTAACACTTAAGTTGGGCCTTGGTCTGACCTTGGGTCCAGTGGTGTTGGGTTCTCTGCCTGCTCCCTGGTAAAACGACACCCTGACGGTTCCTTGGTAGTTCCCTGGTTTGCATTTCGTTAATCCTTGGTTTGTGTGTGTGTGTGTGTGTGTGCGTGTGTGTGTATGTATATATATGAATGTGCAGATGTATGTTTACAAATGTGGCCAGATAGCAAAGTCCAATGCTTTTTTCGATTGTTTCTCTATCTTACCTTTTGACATTGAATCTGGAGATCGCTGGTTGGCTAGAATGATCTGCCCGCTTCTGCCCTGAGCCTGCCCTGTCCCCCAGTCTGGCTTATTACGTGGATGCTGGGAATTTAAACTCAGGCCCCTGTGTACAAAGCTTCTCACTGGCCGAGACATCCCTGCAGGCTCCTCCTGGGTGTTGCAGCCTGGTCTCTGTGTCCCTCTTATCCTGGTGGTTCTGTGGTTCCTCCTTTTGCCACCAAAGGCTGGTGGCTGATGCTCCAATGTCCTGATGCTCAACGGGGCCTTTCACGGCTACTGCAGTCTGGTAACAGTTAGGCAGATGGCCTCTCACTGAGCACGTAGGCTTCAATGCTGAGGACGATGACAGTGACCAAGCTTTGCAGTTTTATGTTCTGAGACTACGAAAACATTGTGACTCTCATACGGTTCTGGGAGCTAGGCTGGGGCTCAGTAACGAAATGAATTTCTACCCGCCTATTGGATGGAAATGCAATGTCAAAGACTTTAAGGAATGACAAAGGTGCTCAAGAGGTCTGAGTTTGTGGCTGTCCTGTGAGTTGCCCAGGAAGGCAGACAAAGGTGCCACAGTAGTGCCACAGTGTGTTTGATATGCTGGGAACAAGTCCCAGAGCACATGGCAGCTAACAAATAGAGCAGGGTAGACCCTTGAACTTGCTTGCTTCCCTGTGTACACTTGGGTCTATCTCAAGGGCATTCATGAACCCTATGTCCCCTGCCCTGTCTTCCTCCCCTAGGCAGGCTGGCTGAGGGATGATGCTCATATGTGACAAATGCCAGCATGCCCTCCAGACCAGCCTCCTCAGCTCTGGCTGACCACTGGGACCTGGAGTCCCCATATCAGGTGGTGTGACCGAGTGAGCCTGGCAAGCAGCTTGAGGAGAAAGGTTCCTTCTAGTTCTGCTTCTGTCCCCAGCCTCAGAACATCCCAGCCTGAGCTGCTAGGGCCACCCTGAGGATGTAGACCTTGGGCCAGCCCAAGGTTGGGGCAAGTTGGGCTTCCTAAACTGTCTCCGCCTCTAGTCACTTGGTCTGGGATGAGACCTGGCACTTGTCCTTACCAAGTGTCCCCACCAGTGTACTTCAGTTGAAGATCCTGCCCATTACCTCCTAACCAGGGGCTCCCAGGGTATAGCTCCCTTTGGGGTTCAGCAGCCTAAGGGGCCTGCTATATGCCCACTTCTCTGGCTTGCCCAGGACCTATGGAGTTAGAGCCTCTGAGAGGGCCCCATGCTTCCCCAGGGGACTCAGATGCCAGAGGTGCGAGAAGCATGCTCCATGCTGGCTCTCAGTCTGTCCTTGCCCAGCTTAGTCACCCAACAGGGCTCTATGCAGTCCATCTAATTCTTCTGGGTTCCTCTCCCAGGGTAGTGGAGCTCTGTCACTGAGTTGTACTTAGAAAGTGCAACTGACCAGAGGCTTGGAGAGCCTTGGCCCTCAATCGAGATTCAGTGGTCAGTTTCTCCCCCCATGAGATACCCCTTAGTTACCTCAATTTCATTGTCCCCTGCCGGGGTGGGGTCACTATTCCTCTTTGACCGGCCCCGTAACTTCCCATCGGAGGCCCGATGTGGCCTGTCTGTGTCACCCTCTTTTGCTGGTGTGGAGGGTCCGTTGTGTGGATTGTAGTCTCCTGGGGAGAGACAAGGATGATATATGAAGGTCAGCCGCTTGACCAGGTGTCTCTTCCTGGGAAATATCACACCATCTCCATCATCATGCGACCCCCAGAGGAGACCCTAAAGGGCACCAGAGGTCAAGATTGTAAGATTAAACCACTGGTCACTGCCATCCATACCATGATGACTTTCTTCTACCCAATAGATAGGAGGCCCAGTTTCAGGTTCTGGGCCTGACTAGAGGATCAAGTGCTTTAAAACCCCAGCAAAGGCAGGAAGCATAGCTCAACTGGTGAAATGCCTGCCGTGTAGACCCAAGGACCTGAGTTGGATTCCAGAGGGTGAGCCAGTGCTAGAGAGACAGAGATAGGTTTGGCTCAGGGCTGGCTGGCCAGCTACTCCAGCCTAATTGGTGAGCTCCAGGCCAGTGAGAGACTTTGTCTGAAAGGAAGTGACACTAGAGACCGTCATCTGGTTTCTCCACACAAATGTGTCTGTGCGTGTAAGGTGTTGGGTGGTGCTAGGGGTGTTACGTGAACAGTCTGTGAGGGAAGGGGCATCTGCCCAAAGATCTGGAAGAAGTGAAGGAGGACTGACCTACTACAGTAAACAGCCCATGCCGATGGCTTGAAGTCTCCTCCGTGGACAGAAGGAAGAAAATAGAAGCCCAGAGGGAGATGAGCTTCCAGCAGTTCAACCCCAGGGGCATACTTTGAGGGCTTGATTTCCAGAGTGGTAATGGTGGGACTTTTCAAGGGTCCTCAGATCAACTGGGGACACACTCAGAAAGGTCTGCAGTCCCTCCAGACAGTAAGCTAGACAGGCCTCTCTTCTTTATAAAGTTACAAGTCTCTGGGACCGCATTATGGCAATGTAGAAATACAGCCTCATGTGCCTAGTATCAAGAGAGCCTCCCCACCCCCCAGAGGCACATGGCTATGTGTGGCTTAATGGGGTTGCTGACCTGGGGTCTCTACAGATTAGTGACAAGATCTGGGCCTGTCCTCGGCAGCATAGTGTTAGACCCTCAGAGGACATCCTGTTCCATTTTCTAACAAAACAACTTTAGCTTCTAAACACGTCCTGTAGAGACCAGCTCTCTTCCGGCACGGGGGGCCTGGTGGGAGGGGGGGCCTGGTGGGAGGGAGGGTTGGCTTTGACTAAATGCATTTGGAAATGGTTGAGTTCTGCTTCCTTTTCCCCCTAAAGCCCAAGGGACTCCAGTTTGTTTCCTTATCTATAGAGCTCCTTAGTGACTAAGGGACACATGAGAGAAGAAACCCAGTGTGGTGTCAGGGATGGAGGGGCCTCCTCCCGCCAGCCAGCAGCGGACCCCAGCACAGAGTCAGAAACAGCTTTCTTCAGGAGGAAGAATTTCTTCTAAGCTCAGATATTTGATTAAAGTAGTAAGAGCAGACGGACATCGTAGCTGGTCCTGGTGGTATGGATGTAACCTCAGCTACTTGGGAGGCTGAGGCAGGGGGATTAAAAGTTCAAGATGGTCCTGAGCTAGTGAATTCAAGGCCAGCAACTTAGTGAGACTTCGTCTCAAAATAAGAAAGTGAAAAAGAGTGCTGGGCTGTAGCTCAGTGAAAAGTGTAGCTTGCCTAGCAGGCTCGCCGCCCAGGCTCCGCTCCTCACTGCTGAGAATCAGTGGACAGCACGTGATCTGTCTCGTGCGGATTCGTTGAAGCTATGCTGGTCTACTTCGGTCTGTTACAACAAACCCAGCACGGATTGGGTGACACAAGCAATACAAGTGCATTCTTTAAGATTAAAAAAAAAAAACATAGCCCTCTCTCTCTCTCCACCTGGTTTGGAGGTTTTGAAATGCTAAGCTTGCAAATATCATAAATTATATAAATTGAATTCCAATTTTAAACCAATTTTTGCATCTTTCGGATAAAGACCCAATCTTTAGTTTTGGTTACTATCGTTTTCTTTAGACGTATTTCTGTTTACGAAGTGTGTGGCCTGGGGTTTTCTTCTCATGGCCTTGTCCAGCTTCAGGCTCCAGTTTGTGATGCCCTCAGAGGATATCTCAGGAAGTATTTAACTTTAATTTTCTTAGATATTTGTATAGAACAAGTGGTTCTTACTAAAATGTTCAGCAGAATTAACCAGCAAAGCCTTCTGGGAATGGCATTTTCTTTGTGACTTCTGTTTTCCTTTGAGGCACGGTCTCATGCAGCCAGAGCTGGAGCACACTTCATTACGCAGCCAAGGATGACTTTGAACTCCTGATCCTTCTGCCTGCAGCTCCCCAGTACTGAAATTACACGTATGCACCATGACGCCTGGTTTTATGTGGTACCGTGATGGAGCCCAGGGCTTCCTGCACAGAAGGCAAGGGTGTCACCAACAGAGGGTGTCACCAACAAAGGCATTCCCCAGCTCTGTTCAGCTTCAGCAACACCAATACCACCGCCACTGCCATCACCACAGCTGCCTTTGCCGCCGCCAGCACCAGCACTAGCGCCAACAACAGCCATGTAGCTCACTGGCTACACGGCTGTGTAGGGAGCCACTTGCATCTTGTGTGAGGCAGGGAGTTTCTATTTTACATGGAATCCACATTTTATCTACATTATCAACTCAGGCACAATCACAATGATGTCACCCCTCTCTTTTGTGGTCCCCCCCTTTATTCTGTTTTCGCCTTTTGTTGATTCTCCCCTGGTCTCTTATTTCTGTGCCTCCATTTACTCTGGGGTTACTTTGTGTCTTTTGAGAGTTTCTTAGGATAGATGTGGTCTCGGTGCTAGAGAGATGGCTCAGCAGTTAAGAGCACTGGCTGTCCTTCCAGAGGACCCGGGTTCAATTCCCAGCACCACACGATGGCTCATAAACATCTGTGACTCCAGTTCCAGGGGGTCATGTCCTCCTCTGGTCTCCATGGGCTCAGCAAACATGCGGTGCACTCATACCCCCCAAATTAAAATGAATAGTATTTTTTAAAAATTAAGAATGATGATGGGTTCCATTTGTAACCCCCTTTCTTCTTTTCTAACAACCATGCTAGTTCCCTTTGCTGTTTTAATGACATTCCATACATTTTGATATGCTGTGTTTTTGTTTCATTCAATTCAAAGTACTTTAAAATTTCCTTTTGATTCTTTGACCTCCAGGTTGCATAGAAGTGCATTATTGAGATTCCAAACATATGAAAAGTTTCCAAAATGCTTGCTACTTATTAGAGATTTAATTCTTCTGCCACCAGAGGCTGGGCTCTGTCTTGGATGCTGGCTGAGCTGGAACCTGCTCTCTGGCCCAGAGTGCGAGTCTATTTCAGGATTGCCCCACGTGCTGCCGGAGAGAACACACTGCTGCTGAGATGTGCTGTTCAGAAGTCTGTTATCACAGCCTCTCCCTTCCATTCCACAGTCCCAGTTTTCTCCTCCAGAGAAACTGACCAGACGGTTGCTCTGCATCTTTCCAGAAACTTCCTATGTAAATATGGACGCTATCCTACACTTTTATTTAAGAAAACTCTGCCGGGCGGTGGTGGCGCACGCCTTTAATCCCAGCACTTGGGAGGCAGAGGCAGGCAGATTTCTGAGTTCGAGAGTTCGAGGCTAGCCTGGTCTACAGAGTGAGTTCCAGGATAGCCAGGGCTACACAGAGAAACCCTGTCTCGAAAAACCAAACCAAAAAAAAAAAAAAAAAAAAAGAAAAAGAAAACTCTGGGGACACATTTCACACAGAGCTTTGTTTTTTCTTTTTCTTTCCCATGAGGGTAGGGTAACAGTCTCACTGTGTGGTTCAACCTGGCCGGGAACTTACTATGTAACTCAGGCTAGCCTTGAACTCATGGCAATCCTGAGTGCTGAGATTTTAGGTGAGAGACAAGGTGTCTGGATTTTCATATGTGGTTCTTTTACTTCTCTCCACCTATGATAGCAGTTCAAAAAGGGCGGCTTAGACAGATGTCATTGTATGATGTCATTGCAGTCCTCTTTTTCAGAGCTGCATAGTATGTCACTGGTGGGTGTGTCACTGTTTATCTAACATGGGTCCTGCTAAACTCTACTATGTTATACCTAGTCTTTTGCTCTGATATTAACTGCAATAAGGATTCCTTTGCTTAAGTGTTTGTATTTATGTGGGAGCTGTCTTCAGGATAAATTCCTAGCTGGGGAATAGTTGGGCTAAAGGGTGCATGCACTTCTAATTTTATTAGATGTTATCAGATTGCACAGAAAATCCTAAATCTCTTCTTGGGAACTTAACATTCTCTTATTGGCTGAGGGAGGTGGTTTAAGAAGTTAAAAAAAAACAACCTTGCAACTTTCTTTGAGTACTATGGAGCACATCAAACCACGGGAAAGAAGCTCTGGCCGTGTGTGTCTGTTCTCTTGGGTCTGGACAGGTGTTTAGACACTGCTCTGCGCAGCAGGCTACCCAGAGTCCTCTGCACGCTGTTGGCATTTGCACAGATGTCGACACCCATCAGAGCAGTGTGTCTCTCTCAATGTGTCTGGGAGAAGGAAAGTGGTAGAGCCCATATCGTGGCAAGCTTGAGAGCCAGTGGGATTTGTCAATCAAACTACTGGAGTAGCTGGGAAACACCGGGTGCCTTAGATGGGTTTGAAAGTGGAGTTTTGTGGAAAACACTAAAAGTCTGCATATGTGCACATATGTGTGTGTGTGCATGTGTGTATGTGTATATGCATGTGTGTGCACATGTGCTAAATGTTCTTCTTGTGCAACAGACACCGGGGGAAAAGAGGCTAGGCACCCCGGTCAGAGGTTACAGTTATTGATGCTATTATATTAAAAACTTATTTTTAGATTTGTTATTTTTTGTACATGAGTGTTTTGCTGTCTCTGTGCATCATATGTAAGCTTCGTAGCCTTTGAGGTCAGAAGAGGGTATCAGATTCCCCGGGTCCAATGGTTGTGAGCCACCATGTGGGTGATGGGACCTGAACTCAGGTCCTCTGAAGAGCAGCCAGTGTTCTTGCTCTTAACCACTGAGCTGTCTCTTCAGCCCTGTGATGCTATTTACATTTCTGTGAGCTCATGAGACACAGGAAAAGTGACCTAACCTTTTATTATTATACCTGAGGCCAAGGAATAAATGACCTTGGGGGATATGGGAAGGACACTGCAGAGATGTGATGAGTCCCATGTTTGCTCCTGATGGGACCCAGAGAGGACCTTGCCACAGAACTCAAATCCTCAGGAAGGGCGACATATAAGTCAGGTTCTCCCTTGAAATCTGGATCCACTAGCCCGTCTTCCCGCCAGTAGCTCCCCTCCACCCTGATTTCCCATCAGCCCCTTGTTCTCTCCTTTGTTGAAACCAGCACACAGAGACTACATTCAAAGAAGCAGAGTGCCAACGATAGTCCAAGATCAGGAAGAGACTTTACTAGACTTCATGTTCTTTCTCAGAAGAAGATGATTTGAAGCTGCTGAGCGAGAAGGACAGTGTGTTCGGTAAGTACTCGGAAAGAGACTACGAAGATTAAAAAGCCATCAAGCCAGACGCTCCCTTGAACGCTGACTACAAAATACTTGGCCAGGTGTCTCCATTCTTCTTCAGGACAGGGATGCGGAGCTCTTCAGGGAGGGACATGAGGATCTGTATCCACAGCCACACAAGAGCCAGAGAGAGGGGGCAGGGCTCTCCTCCCTGCTTCTTCCTTACCCTTTAAGCAAGGAATGGCTAGTAAGGAATGTCCGTAAGGCATCAGGCTGCTGAGCCCAAGAAAAGAGGAGGAAGGAAGGCTGGCATAGAGGCCCAATCCTATAATCCTAACACTTGATGTGGAGGCAGGAGGACTGGGAATTAAAGGTCATGCCTTGGCTACATCTTGAGTTCAAGGTTAGCTTGGGCTACAGGAGACTCTGTCTCAAATAAGACAAAACAACAAAGGAATGAGACTCTATTCTGGGTGCCCCTGTGACCCAGCGCCTGAGGGACACTTAGTTTGCAGAATAGCTTGAGCACCCTGCCACCCCTCCCCCCCACTGCATCCTGCACTGAAACTACACACATGCTCCTTACCAGACAAAGCAACCTGTCACTCCACCTCACCCTCCCCTAGTTACTCCCTAGCAACCTCACAGTAACTCCCTTTTGTGGCCAAACACATCCTGGAACGAGGGGCAGTGGTCCAATCTGGATTGGTTTTGGTACATGCACAATAAGGGAAAGTGTCCCCTGAGTGACCTTTTGAAAAAAAAAAATCTTCTAATTACCATCTTATGCCTATGCATGATCAGGCATGTATATGATTAAGCCAGATGCATCATGGGACAGGATATCTGCAGCAAACCAAAGGTTTATATAACCGAGACCTGTCCATGAAAACAGAAAATCACCCCAACTCTGCAACTAATTCCTCCTCCTCCTCCTGGATCTGGAAACCCCAGAAGTAGCATGGGGCTCTTGAGCAAGCTTGCTGGAGCCCACCACTCCCCTGCAGTGTTTTTACACGGAGCTTTTGCTTTGCTCCCAAATACAACCCCTGTGGCTTTGCTACTTCTGAGCGCTTCATGAATTCCGTGAACAAGACATGAAGAATCTGGAATCATCTGGTGCAGGCAGCCATGCTGGTTAGGAAGCTGCAGCGTGAGGACTGCAGGTTTGAAAGCATTCTGGCCTGAAGATCTCACAGCTGAGGTGTGATCCAGGACAGGGATGTGGGGGTACCCACTGTCTTCTGGCTCTGGAGTTCTGGGTTTCCTTGTCCCTCCCCTTCCCCTTAGTCTATTGGTTCTGGTACAACACTGACTCTACTCTAGCTCCAGCCATGGGCATGAGACCCAGAGCCTTTTCCACCCTAGCATTGTACCTAAGCCACAGAGGCTGACCGTAGGATGGGCATGTGACTAAGTCGGCCAACAAGAGTGCTCTAGGGCTCTGGCGGAAGGATCTAGAAGGAAAAAGCCCTTCTTTGTGGTGATGCAGCAGGCAGGATAAAGTCCTGAGATCAGAAACCAAGGCTCAGCATTTTGTTGGAACCCCTGACCTATGTCATGCTGACCCCCCCAACACTGCTTGTAACCTGTGTAACAAGTGATGTGCTTTTTTTTTCTTTTGTAAACCACTTTTTTTCTATTTTCTGGACCCTAAAAATCTTGTGCAATACAGGGTTTCCCTAAAACTCTGGTGCCTCAGGGTTGTGTGAGGATCGTGGAAGGCTGAGAAGGCTGAGACCCGTGAGTAACAGCAGCTGAACCTCCTCAGAGAGAGTGGACACCGGAGGGCAACCAGCTAGTTCCCAGGCAGAGTTATCTTACATTGAGTATGTGTGTGCAGTGCCCACAGAGTCCAGAAGAGGGTGTCAGGTTCCCCCGTGGCTGGGATTGCAGGCAGCTCTGAGCCAGCCAAGGTGGGGGCTGAGAACAGACTCACCCCTGGAAGAGCAGCAAGTGTTCTTCGTAGTTGAACCATCACTTTAGGTCCCCCATCCCCCACCAGCCCTGCCCGCTGCGAGCTTCAGAGAACATCTCAGTGGAGCATAGCCAGTGAATAGGAGCTCAGCATAGAAGATGAAGCCTAGCGGGCCCGGGTTCGAATCCCAGCCCCACAGTTACTAGTCCATACTTGTTACTCTGACCTTTACTGTTCTATGTTCTGTGGAAGATGTGGCTGCGGGCTGGGTGTGAGAAGCCCTTCTCTTGTGAGGACTGTGGCTTGTCTTTCTGACTAGAAATTGGAATTTGTAAATGTATCCATGAGACTATTTGCAGTATACTAAGATCAAAGGGACAGCGTCCCAGGGCTGGAGAGATGGCTCAGTGACTAAATACACTTGGTGTTTTACAGAGATGCCAGGTTTGGTTCCCAGCACACACATGGTGAGTCACGACTGCCCGGGGCTTCCAGCTTCATGCCATTAAAACATACATACATTAAAAAAAAATTAACCTTAATTTAAGGATATCTTCAGAGCCCCCTTTTTGGTAGTTGTTTAAACTAAGGACTGTCTGGGAAACAGTAGGTGTTTAATAAATGCCTGTTACCAAGGCCAGAGAGGTGACGAGAGAACACTGTGCAAGCCTGTGCTTCTTTTGGACCGTGGCTCACAGAACCTCTTCACCCGGGAGCTCAGACCACAGGCAAGTGAGAGGCAACATGAGTGTACTTACCGGCCAGCGACTCCGAACTCTGGCTGGGGACATTGTGAGGAGCCTCCTGGAGGACGTAGGTGGATGTGGAGAGGGGCGAGGAGCAGAGGCTGCTGGCAGGGACGTAGGGCGGGTTGTACGATGGGCTGAAATACTGGGGGTACTGGTTCTGAGGGAAGCTGGGGTAGGAGGGGTAATCCTGGCAAGAGAAGAAAGGGCAGACGGGGTTGAGTGAGGTACTACGGCGGCCCAGGCTCCCTCCTCAGATCAAACACCGACCATCCATCCAGACAATCAATGTTTGGCTTTCTCATAAATGGATTCTGACCCAAGAGTCAAGTGCAGGTGGCACCAGCTGAAGACACGGAGGACAGAGGGATGAAGCCACAGAATGCAAACAAGGGTGGCCGTGTTGGCTGACACAGGACTGGGCAAGATGACCCACACTGGGAAGGCTGAGGTGGTGGGAATCCCCATCTGAACCTTCGTCTCCCAAGGGCTGGGAGCTGCGGTGTGGACCCTGAGTCCAGCCATCTCTAGAACAGCTCCCCGGGTCGGGGTAGGGTGGGGTGTGGAGGTGGGGGAAGTCCTTGACACTTCCTGCCTGCCCTGCCCCCAAGCCGTAGGATTTGAGAGCCCAAGGGTCAGCCTTTGTGGACGACCCTGAAGAACAGGAGGGTGACCTTGACCGTCTCTTGGTCAATGCTGTGTCTCCAGCCTGAGAACTGGGCCTAGCATTCACCGTGACCTTAGAGACGTGTGAATGAGTGGAGCCCAGACCTGGGGTTGAGGAACATTTCAAGCACATTTCAGGGAACAAGTTCCAAACGGAGCAGTCCCTAGAATATCAGGGTCCAGAATGTTCCCCCAGCCCCAGCTATCATACTTTCAAATACAGCCAGTCAAGATCCTCGGCACCTCTATCACCTTCATCACAGCTACCAAACAACCATCATCACCTTCCCCCCACCATCACCATCTCCAACATCACCATCATCACCACCACCACCATCACTACCATCAGTGATTCACTCACAAGAAACTCATATAAAGTTCTGGGCCCCAGCTCATATCTGCTAAGTCAGAATTACCAGGGAGTCTGAATTTGTGGCAGGGCCTTAGAGTGAAATGGTCAGATATCTAGAGCTAAGAATTGCATCTGGAAAGTCAGATACAAGCTTAGGGTTTGTGTGTGTGGAGCTGGAGGGGAGAATATTTGTTTTTCGTACTTTCGTGTCCTAGAAACACAGGAGCCTTTTGTTTTGAAAGGATTTCAGATTTACAGGAAGAGGGTCCTTTAGCATGTCTCCCCAAAAGTCCCAGAAGCAGGACCCAAGGCCTTGAGCATGCGGGCAGACACTCTACCACCGAGATACACTGTCTACCACTAGTAGGTTAATTCTTTTTTTTTTTTTTTTTACAAATGGTTTATTTACTTTTATTTTATGTGCATTGGTGTTTTGCATGCATGTGTGTCTGTGTGAGGGTGTCAGACCCCTGGAACTGGAGTTACCATTGTGAGATGCCATGTGGGTGCTGGAATTGAATCAGGGTCCTTTGGTAGAGCAGCCAGTGCTCTAACCACTGAGCCGTATCTCCAGCCCTCTAGGCTCATCATTTATATGTATGTGTCTGTGTGGGAGTTTGCCTGTGCGTATGGGAGTGTGTGCCCATGGAGACCAGAAGAAGGTACCAGATCCCCTGGAGCTGGAGTGGCAGGCAGCTGTGAGCCCGCTGAGGTGAGTACTGAGACTCCAACTCCAGTCTTCGGGTCTTCTTAACCACTGAGCTATCTATCTCCTCAGCCCCCAGTACATTTTCCACTTAGTTGTTTAAGACAAGGTCTCATGTAGCTCAGGCTGGCCTTGAGCATACTAAATAGCTAAGGATGACCTAGACCTGGTCCTCCTGCCTCACCGTCCCGATTGCTGGATTACAGGTGTGCACCACCACACCCATCAGATCCAGAAGGAGAAGGATGCATTGACCAGAGGCTCCTGGTCCAGGGAAAGGACTTAGACTGTACCCATAGTCCACACTCAAGAACCTCTAAACGCTTCCAGCTCAGGTAAGATCGGACCTGACATCTTGGGGAATCTTGTAATTTTATTTCCAATGGTATTTTTGTCCAATCCAGTCTCTAGAATCCCAAAACCCAGGGCTAAGAGACCAGCTTTCTGGTGGGGACTGTGGGTGTGAGGCGGTTCTGTCGTGCACCTTGAGCTTTGGGGAGATTTAAAGAAAGAGGGGAGAAGAGAGTTGGCAGGTGCCGTTTCTACCTGGTGCATGCTCCCAAATCCGGCCGAGTTGGTCAATCCGTTGGCGCCTTGATAGAGCCCAGCTGTGCCTGCGGAGGACAGGACAGGTTAGTCTTCCCATCAGGGAAGGCTGAGGAGCAGATGTGGCTCTAAGGCCTGGGGTCAGGGGTGGGGGTGGGGCAGAACCAGTGACCAGGAGCCACATCTCCCTAGCCTCAGTGTCTTTAGTAAACAAGGGGAGAATCTTTTTTGAGGGATTAAGGAGAGCAGTAAATGTGACCGCACATAGCCGGGGTCAGCTCGGCTTACTGTGGCTTTTGAAACATTGTTTTATTCTAGTGCAGGTGCGTGGATGCCTGCGTGTACCTCTAGGTCAGTGAACTTGCGAATTTGCAGGAGTTGGTCCCTTTTCCACCATGTGGATTCCAGGGGTTGTCAGGCTTGGTGGTAAGTGACTTAATCCTGCCGATGGTGGTAATGTGTTTTTAATACATTATTTATTTATTTACTTTCTGCTTTTTTTTTGTTTTGTTTTTTGAGACAGGGTTTCTCTGTATAGCCCTGGCTGTCCTGGAACTCACTCTGTAGACCAGGCTGGCCTTGAACAAAGAGATCCACCTGCCTTTGCCTCCTGAGTGCTGGGATTAAAGGCGTGCGCCATTATGCTCAGCTTAAAATTATTTATTTTTTTAAACTGTGGTTAAAAATGATGGAACACGATACCATTTTATTCACTTTAAAGTGTATAGTAAGTGGCATCAAGTGCATTTATATTCCATGTCACCATCATAACATCCATCATGAAGACTTCTCTAGAACATTCTAGAAAATCTGCAGAATCTTGTAAAATCAGAACCCTGTTCACATTTTAAAAGCCCATCACTCCAGAGCCCCTGGCAACTGCCACTCTGTTTGCCTGGACTCAGTTGGGCAGGGGGCCTCATGTAAGTATGGTCATGTAGTATTTGTCTTTAATGGTGGCTTCTCATTTCCTTCTCATGTCATTCTTGAGAAGGTACCACCTCCTTCTCGTTTCTCTGTGGGGAAATGCAGGCCGAGGACTGTGCTTTTGCAGGGCCGACAGGGAGAATTCTGGGAGAATCTGTATTCACTCATGAGTTCAAGCAAACAGGTCCTATGGTATAGGGGACAACCCGAAGTGACACATGTCTCATGGGGCCAGCAGAGGCCAGAGTGGCACAACGCTCTCCAACTGCTTCACAAAAACGCTGCCAGCCCAGACATCTATGTCCAGAGTCCCTGTCCTTCAGGTATGCAGGGGAAACGGGCGTCCACAAGCTATGTAGAACCCCAGATCTGTTCTAGAAGTTCTAGCCCAAGAAGGGGGCTCAAAGGGAAGGAGCAATCAGTGACAAAAATATGGAAAGGGATCAGAATGTAGGGGTGAGGCAATTTCCAGCCCTGCCCCCTCCAGGTTCTGATAGCACACAGTGGGACCTTTGTTAATCTGCTACCAGCTGTTAGCAACTACTGTACACAGGGTTTCTTAACTGTGTAAAATGTGCACTTTCAAAGTCAAATAAACCCCATGGCCACCTTGGGTCCCGCCGGGAAAGAGGAAAAAGTTCCAGGATGCAGCCTCACGGTTAAAACTTGACGTGAGGAAGATGAAGAGCTAAGCAGGCTGCCCAGGCAATCCAGACAGAGCTCTGCACCAGAGCAATCAGCCTGTCACCCCCAAGCCTGCCAGGCTCCAGGGAGGCCCCTGGAATGTCCTCAGAGGAGCCACACAGGAGGCCTCCCCACCCTTCCCCCTTGTTAACTTTATGTGAAGCTGCTGCCTCTACTGCCTCTACTGTAACATAGTCACGGAGTGGATTGTGGGTGAGGGCAGATTCGAAGACAGCTTCACCTGTTCTAGGAAGGAGACCACTCAAGACCAACACAGAGGTGGGCAGTCAAGGGGCATGGTGACAGATCCAAAGCTAGTCCTTGGCCTCTGCCATAGGCTCTGCCTGCCATCCTTGGAGGGTGAGCTAGCTTTCTGCTTCTATTTTCTCTCATGTGCAGAAATGCGCATGCCTGCCTACTCTCTGCCCATGCCCAGTATGTACTCCGATCGAAGGAAGGAATGAGAAGGTGTCTGTCAAACGGTTCCATCAGTCACCTCCCCAGGACCTTGGGGACCTAGAGAGATCCTGAATGGTGATTGGGGAAAGGGTGGCATCAGGGAAGGCTTCATCTGAACTAAGGTCCAAAAGAGGAAGAGGAAGGAGTGAGACAAGGAGAGTAAGAGACAGACACAGGACCCCACTGGGCCTCTCTCCTGACCTCCATTACACAGTGGCCCCTTAAAGGATTAAGGGCACAGACTTTACCCAGCCCCGTGTGACCCTCTAGGATCCACTCTGACCTTCTGAGATCCCATGCTGTCCAAGGCTGGCCTGCACACATGCATGAGAAGAAGGCCTGGGTGAAAAGTCTAAGGCTAGCCCATTTTACTCAAGGTTATCTCTCTGGTCCTGGTTGAAGGGACTCTGACCAGCTTAAGCACGTGTCTCTTATTCCCTGCCCTCTGTCCCTCTGGGGCATAAATAAATCTTTGTACTGAGAACGTGGTCTTGGGGGTCCTGAGCCAATGTTTTTTCTTTCACTGGTTGCCATGGTGACCCTACCTGCCCCAGGACAACTCCTTCTCTTGGGTGTGAAGCTGAGGAGGGCTGACTTAGGGCCGACTTGAGCAGGGGTGGTCACAGTCAGTCTCCCGCTCTTTCTCAGAACAGCCTGTTGTTTATTTTCCTTTTGTGATCAGGGTCATCTGAAGAATGGGCAGCTGAACAAAGCTTAATATGAAGACATCAGGCTAGCTCAGCAGGGAATCCCTCCTGGGCTAGGGAGGATGCAGAAAGATGGGGTAGGAAGTCTTGGGCAACAGTGCGTGGGGCCTGGAGGAGTTTCACAGACTCATTTTGGTGGTGGCTGTGAGACAGACATTGCTGGCTGGGACAGTGTGATGAGGGGTAAGAGGGCTGGAGGCTGGCAGTGGCCAGTCCTGCTGGAGCCCTCGCCCTTGTCTCCATCCTCTCTCAGAGACAGAATGCTCTCTTTATGCTGGGACGGGACAGGTTCTAGAGAAGAGGAGAGATGGAACGGGCAAGTTCCACTTCCTTGTTGTACTTTTACAGGGCAGGCAGGGCCAGGGATCTTTCTGTCTCTGCCTCTCCAGTGCTGGGGTTACAGGCAGTGCTGCCGTGCACGGCTTTTTGTAGGGATCTGAACTCAGGTTCTCACGCATTCATGGCCTGCACCTCTTTGCCATCCTGTCCTGAGACACAGAAGCAATTCACTCTGGGCTTCTTTTGTCTTCTGTCCCCTCTTTTTATAATTTCCTCTCAGTTCCCAACGCTCACAGGCAGAAACTGTGAGGTGTCTGAAAGGGGTTTTCTCCGTGGTGGGTTTTTTTTGTTTTTTGTTTTGCTTTTGTTTTTCTATTACTATAAGGAAACACTGGAAGCAGGTTAACTCTATAAAGAAAAAAGGTTTGACTAAAATCTTAGGCCCAACGTGCAAGATCAGGCTGCCAGGGTGAATGGGAAGGCCCTTTTGACAGACACCATGATGTTTGAGGCGTGTGTGTGTGTGTGTGTGTGCGCGCATGCGCGTGTGTGTAAATGAAAGATTACATCAGCAGGCAGAGAATGGGGTGGCCATGCTGGCTCATCTGTAACTCTCTTGTAGCAATTGAGAGAACCCATGAGAACTACCCTCTGAGCTCCCATGACCTAATGACCTTCCAATACCAGCACCCTGGGGAGTAACATGGGGATTCTTTCAGGACAAACTACATCCAGGCCACAGGGGGCACACACTCCCCTCAGTACTGGGTACATGCAAGCACTCAGGAAACAGGTGTCAGTTCTGTGAACTCTAGGGTGTCATCTGTCTCCCAGGTTTCATGTGCCATCAAATGGTTCTGACTTCATTGCCGCTGGCTGCATCCTCTATGCCCTGGCAGTACCCTGGTGACCTAACTCTCTGCTGGTCCTAACTGCCCAGAAGGTATGACACTCCTAACAAGGCTGCTGTGTGCATCCTCAACCCCCTGCCCGCGTGGGCCCTGGATGCCTTGGAGGAGATCAGGGAGGGCTGCCTGGTATAGGAGTCCCTGCATCGTGCTCCGCACCTGTCCTTCCTTCCCCAGCATCCAGCACGGGACTGCTGGCCATTTTTTTTTTTTCTGTCATGATAGGTGTGCCATGATTCATATTTCTTTGGTTGGTTGCTGGTGACTCTGAGTGTCCCTTTCAGGGCTTGCTGCCCTCTGGATGTCTTCTTTTTAAGGAGATGGTGACGGTTGCTATGGAAACTCCTCTCTTTCCAGGGCTGAGCCTAGCTTTCCCTTTACCTCAGCCTTTCAGGGCCCTTCACTCATTGAGATAGATGAGGACAGAACAACACTGGGCCCGCCACGGAGGGGTGCAGACGCCTGCTCTGGGCTGGCTGCATGGCAGGTTGGGAAGTGACTGGCCAGGGCCCAGGTCACGATGAGCTACCTGCTGAGTCACTTAGCACAGGTCATCTCTTGTAGTTCTTTGGGGCCAATCTAAAGTGATCTAGCTTCTGCGAGGTGGTGGTGCACACCTTTAACCTTTAACCCCAGCACTTGGTAGGCAGAAGCAGGTGGATGTCTGTGAGTTCAGGGTTAGCTTGGTTTACAGAGTGAGTTACAGGACAGCATAGCTAGGGCTATGCAGAGAAACCCTGTTTCAAAAAACCAATCCAAATTCAAACCCCTTCAGTAAAATGGGCTAGCCTTAGGCTTTCCACCCAGGCCTTCTTCCCAAACTAAAGTGATCTAGCTGTCATTCGTAGAGGGGACATCTGTGTCAGGCTTTGTGAAGATAGCCTTATGGAATAACTCTGAGTGGAATCCCTCCTCCATGTTACCCAATTTCTTTTCCCAAAGCAGAGGGGTCCGATGGTCAGGTCCACAGGATATTCAGGAGCCTCAGTCCCCTTTGTAATAAAGTCTGACTGAGGGGCAATTAAAACGTAAAGGCCAGCCAGTGAGATGGTTCAGTGTGCAACGGTGCTTGCTGCCAAGTCCAAGAGCCCAAGTTCGATCCTC